AAAGAAATAGAAGACAGTAGATCAACTATGTTAACTATCCTGTATATACATACATACATACAAAATTTCTCCTTCTTTTCCTTCTCTTTTCCCACATCCCAGTTCCTCTTTACCCTTGAGCATTTTGGTAAATGGTCACAACTAGAGACCATACTCATAAGTGAAATAAATCAGACCTGCATGTTCAAGCACCGTATAGCTCACTAGTGTAAAACCTGAAAGAGTTAGGGGCTGGGGATTTAGCTCAGTGGCACAGTGCCTGCCTGACAAACGCAAGGTTGTGAGTTCAATTCCCCGTAATGAAAAAACAAAACAAAACAAAACAAAAACCTGAAAGAGTTAATATAAACTCGGAGGTATGACAGACATTGTGAAATGATAGTTTTTTTTTTTTTTTTTAATTTTGAGAATGGTGTGGCTAGGTCTGGTAGCTACTGGTTAATCTTTATCATGATTTTTTTTTTTTTTAACAAAAATCCTTATAAAAGATTTCTTTTAGCAAAGATGACAACCTATTCTTGACTAGGTGTATCATAAAAGATTGCTGCTCTCCAGACTGATCTTAACATTTAGAATTCTCACCTGTTTGTAATGCTACGTTTGACCTTTGCTTTTGTTTTGCTTTCTTAAACTTGTGTTACTTCTGGAAATGAACAGTGATGATAAACTAATACCATGTCAATTGTGTATTACACAACAAAACTATTTTGACATGAATTATTATCCAGAGAGTTGACTATATGCACAGAGAGAAAGGACAGATTGTTTATTTGTCTCTGGGATAAAGCATGTTAGTGTCTGACAGATATTTTTGCTTTAGTCTTTTAAAGTTTTTCTTAGGTCCTAATGACTCTGAGGATGTGGGTGACTGCTGCATAAAAATGACAGTTATTTTTTCTACTTTGTTAGGTAATTTCAAAAAAAGTAAACAACTTCTCCATAAAGCTGTGGATAGTGGAGCAGTACCACTAGAAATGCTGGAAATTGCCCTGCATAATTTAAAACTCCAAAAAAAGCAGCTGATTTCAGAGGAGGAAAAGAAGAGTTTCTCGGGTAACTACTAATGTGTGCTAATACTTTCCTGTGATAGATAATACTGCAAGCAAGAGTTCAGGATAATATTACAGAAAATATTCATTTATGTGGAAAGGTCAAAATCTTAAGATTAAATTATAAATGAAGTAAGATTTTTTTTTAGAAGTAAAATGGTTTTACAACCTTGTTGAAATTTATTTATTTATTTGTTTTTTCCCCTTAATCAAAAAAACCAGAGAGTGGCTTTTAGAAACAAGAATATACTGCTACCCAGGAAAGACAGTTATACACTTAGAATTTGAAGAGATATAATACTTTGTATTATCTGTTAACATCTTCATATCTGCACACCTTACCTGTGGGCAAATACTTATATTTTTTTTTGTGTGTATCCCTTAAGCTCTTACAAATTTAATCATGGATTTGAAATTTTTACAGCATCTACAGCATTAGCTGCCCAAGAATCATTCTCCAGTTCACTTGGACATTTACAGAATAGAAGCATCGGTTGTGATTCCAGAGGGCCAGCCACTAAAGCCAGGTTTTTATATGGGTAAGAAAATGGAACCATTTTCTTACATGTTCATCATTTATATAAGTATCTACACATATATGTATGTCATGTAACTATAGTAACAGTGCTTAGCAGTAAAGTGGAAATACATTTTAATATTACTCTTTGGACAATTGAGGGTATTTTCTTCCTTTTTAGGGAGAATATGCCTCCACAAGATGCAGAAGTAGTTCATCAAAATCCCTTGAAACAAGCAAACAAAACTAAACGGGTGAGTTATTTTCAGTCTACTTTGATTAAGGTAATCGTGATGAATACCTTCGTTTCTCAGTTACTTAAATCTTTCAAAATATTTTTAGTCCTGCCCATTTGGAAGAGTCCCAGTTAACCTTCTAAATAGTCCAGATTATCAAGTGAAGACAGATGGGTCAGTTATGCCAAGTTTTACAAAAAGGTATGTTTGAATTTTAACTTTTTAATTTATATTTAAAGACTGATGGAAGAATGGTCTTAAATCTTTTACTGGGTCACAGTAATTATTTTTAATTACTAATCAGTAATTACTAGAAGTTACTGAGCTTCTAAGTGCTTTCTCTAGGAACAAAAAAAAGGAGAAAATGACTTTCTTTGCTCTTTTCCCCTCATTAAAAATACTCACTAACAGAACTAATAATTAATTAGGAAAGCATATTAGATAAAATTAAGTGACCATGAAGTTTAAAGTGATGCAACATCCCTACAGTTAATATTCTGCACCCTGGAGTGTTCTTACACGTGGTAGCCTCTCTGGTGAGGTTCTCTTCCTAGCGCATAGTCTCTATTATGGGGACATCCAGCTATTAGTGGGAAAGATGATATGTTCATTGATTTGCTTCACAGTTGATGGCTTCAAGAAATGGGACATGGCTTGGAGGTTTAACTTTGTTACTTTCTAGCCATGAGGCCCAGGGTTCAATTCCTGCCCTGATAAAAGAGGAGTAAGTTAATTCATGTCTCGGTAAGGTGCTATATCCCTTTAGTTCCAGCTACTGTGGAGGGTAAACCAGAAGGATCTGTTCAGCCCAGGGTTTCAGAACCAGTCTGGGCAGCATAGCAAGGTCCTGTCTCTAAAAAAGTGGGACATCGTAGGTAGTGAAATACTGTTCATCACATCCAATTTGTTCCCCTTCCCTTAATTTAGATGCTTATTCCCTTATAAGAATTAGGAATATAATAGTGTAGATCAGCTAAAGGAGAGTTTTGCGGCTTATTCTTAACTCTAATCAACATGTGTAATATTTTTATTGGAAAAATCTTGTTTTCCAAAGAATCATTTTGCAAATAAACTTGAAAGATAACTTGATGTCTTCAGTAATTAAAGTCCTTTTACCCTTAGGCCTTAACTAAATACTGGTATTTAAGGGACAGTTTGGTTAAATACTGCCCCCCTTTTGTCCTATTGAGGATTGAACCCAGGTCCTTTGCACTGAGCTATAGCCACAGCCCTTTTTTTCAATATTTATTTTGAGATAAGATCTTGCTGAGTTACTAAGTTATACAGGCTGGGCTCAAACCTGTGATCCTCCTGCCTAGACCTCCCAGTGCTGGGATTATAGGCATCTACCACTATGCCAGGAAACGCCATGATTTTCATTTCATATTGTTCTTGCATTTCAAGTATCAGTATAAATGAAGTGTAAAGGAGATTTCCTCTCATTCCAAAAGAAATAAATCCAAAATAACCAAAATGCCCCCAAACTCCAACCATATTCTTAGTACCTGTTAGCATAGCCTGGTGCTAGGTGTACGGAGGCCCACAGAAGAGTTCCCTATTCCCTGGTTCCTAAGCTATCTGTAATCTGAAATGTAGTTTCACCTGCATACTTATCCTGTCCTACATTTTTACTGTAATCCAGCTGTTACTTCTTAGGTAATGAAGACAATGACAGGTGTCTCCTTATTGCTTTTGTCATTGCCCAATACCTAATTTTCTAGCTTAGTCACTTTTGTATTAGAATCATATCAGTTTTAAAACTGGCTTTTTGAGAGATTCTTCCAACTTAAAAAAGTATCTATTGTTAAAAAAGCCAACTTTAAAATGAAAATACATGTATATATACCTAAAAGATTAATTTAAAATTAAATATTAAAATTATTCTGTTTCATGGGTAATAGGCAGATCTCTGGATCAGAATGTCGAGATTTGATTATCCCTGCATCTAAACCAAGTGGAAATAATTCCTGTGAATTGAGAAATTTAAAGGTATTTAAATATTTATGTGAAATAAACGTTCCTGGTCTCAGATTCATGTAACTTTTTCTGGGGAAAGGGTCCAAGGCTTACTATCTGCAACAGTGCTCCTGAGACAGGAGATACAGGACCACAAAGGGGAGGTGATACAGAAATCCTAGATGGTGCTTCTTAAAGGTTAAGGTGCTAGAACAAGGATCAGCTATCTCTTGGGAGAACCATGAAGTGACATTTACGAGGCATACGTTTAAGCAGATTAGTTGGGAATAGCTGGGGAGCACAGATTCTTTTTCTTGGTATGTTTAATTGTATGGTTTTGGTAAGACATTTAGGAAAAAACCAGAATATTAGGGCAGGGGTAAGGGGATAAGTAACTGAACCGGCCTTGGTAAGGCAGAGAAACTCTGTGGGAACTTCAAAGACAGGAAGTAACTTTAGTCTTGGTGCTCTGTGATTTTTTTAGTGGTTATTACTATTATAATACTTGACCTAAGCCTCTGGGATCATGATAAATGTATTTTCAGTTTTATAATCTTGTAGTGTATCACTCCTCCAAGGTCTTAGATGCAAAATATTAAGTTTTTCTACTCCTGGCTCTCTTAAGAGACTCATGCTTATTGTGAGAAAAGTTTATTCTCTGCTTTTAGAATAATTACTGTCTTGGGGTTATACAAATGTTAGTTTTTATGAGTGCTGTTATTTTTGGAGATAAAATACAGTCATTAAACAAAATAGTTAAATTTTCTCCTGTTGCAAGGCTTGGTCTAGATTGTATTCAAACTTTCTAACCCTTTTTTTCTTTAAGGGAAGTTATTTTAGCAATTGAATAATATGCCCACTGAAAGCCAGTTGGCCAAATTTATGGTTAAGGCCCTTTCTATTCTAAATGTAATTCAGGCTGTTAATATTTCTGGGAGTTTGAATCTACATATAAGATAATTGTGCTAGCACTCTTTTCATGTAGATAATACTTTAATATATTGAATAATAAAACAGTACTAATACTGTTAACAGGACTTCTTTTGTATCTCTTTTTTTTCATGTAGTCTGTTCAGAATATCCGTTCTAAGGAATCTCTGGTATCAGATGAAAAAAGTTTTGAACTTAATACTGATTCAGTAACTCTGAAGAATAAAACTGAATCAAGTCTTCTAACTAAATTAGAAGGTAAGAGTGACAGAATTAATACTTCATTCAGTTAAGAAGATCACTTTATAGTTGGGAAAATAGCTACCTAAGAATTGTGGTATGAGATGATCTTGGATTAAAAATATTGGTTCCTGTAGTGAAGGGAGTTTGTTTGCCTACAAGATGCATAAAAGGAAGAAAAGAGGGAAAATACAATGAAACTAAATTATTTTTTACATTTTGCTTGACAGATTTTCTGGAAAGGACGCAGAAGCTGTTTATGTGGCAACTCTCCCTCTTGTCTTAGACATGATTTTCTACTACATGGGTACTATAATAAATGTTCTAGGAAATATAGATGAATGAGACAGTGCTCCAAGGAGGTTGTAATTTAATTATGGAAGATAAATAGAGATATATAGGGACCAGGGATATAGCTCAGTGGCATAGTGCTTGCCTGGCAAGCACAAGGTCCTGAGTTTGACTCCTAGTACCAAAGGAAAAGAAGAGAGAGATATATCTAAATATAATGCTGGGTGGAATGTAGAGATTGTTATAAATGAAATCAGTAAAGTAGGAAACTAATTTGGTTTAGGGAAAACAAGGAAGTAGTCTGTATAGGAGGAGAAAAAATTTGAAGAACTATTAGAATTTAAATGGGGAAATTATAGTAATGAAGTATTTCAAAAGGAAGGAATAGCTTGGGTAAAACATTTTGGGAATAATAGACTGTCTAAAAATGCTGAAAATTATAACAGGTAGTTTAGAAGTTGTAAATCAGGCTAGGTCAATTTTTTTTTTTTTTTTTTTGTCTTTTTGAGACAGGGTCTTGCTATTCAGTTCAGGCTGGCCTTGAGCTCACTCTTAAACTTGTAACGATCCTCTTGCCTCAGCTTCCTGAGTGTGGGATTAAAGAAATGCGCTACCACACCTGGCCAGGGCTAGGTAAATTTAGAATGTCCATCTTAATTTTTTTTAGCTTGCAGAGTACTATTTAAGATTGTTCATACAGGGTCATTGATAGAATCATTATGTCCAGGCTCAGTTGTCAGAATAGGGCTGAGGAGGAACTTTGGGACCGGGCGAGTCTTGCCCGACTGTATGCTTTGTACTTTCCTGCTTTTAATCCTCCAAGCCCGGTGTCTAGGAAAGCCTCAGTTGCAGACAAATAGGGTAGTTTGTCATGCTGTAATAGTCTTTTTTCAAGTTATTCTTTTGATTAGGAACAGGTTCCTACTCCTAATATTTAGTGGAAATTGTTCATATTTTATATTTTGTTAATAGCTTTTAAAACTGGTGTGTTAATCAGTTATGTGTGCTTGTTAGTACTACTTATTTGATATCAACTTAGTATTTTCCAATGAATGCTCTTGAGTACAGTATACTTATTTTATTATTTGCTTCCTCACTTGCCTATTATTTTTGTAGTACTGGGAACTGAACCCAGAACTACCTTTCACCCTGAGCTACATGCCAGCCCTTGTTTTTATCTTCAGACAGGGCCTCTAAGTCCTTCAGTTGCCGAGGCTGAGCTCATACTTTTGAGCCTCTGTTTCAGCCTCCCAGAGTGTGGGGATTACTAGGGTGTGCCATATTCTCGCCCCACCCCCGCTAGTTAATATAATTTAATCTGTATTAAAATAGAAAATCACCCAGATCACTAGTACAGCCCTGTGCAATATCACAGGTGAATCCGCATTTGTAACTAATCCTCCTATCGAGAAACAGAACATTTCTAGCACCCCAGCAGCCGACTTGGTCCCCTCCCAATTTCTCATTTCTAACAACCTACAACAAAACAGAAAATACTGTTGATATCAAATAAGTAGTACTAACAAACACACATAACTGATTAACTATTCGATTGTGTCTGCTTCTTTCATTCACCCTTGTCTGTGGAACTCATCCATGATATTATAGTGTCTAGTTTTCTTGCTGTATAGTATTGATGTACAGCTTTGGGTGTTAAACTTTGTCTGAGTGTTCAGCTTTAGTCTGGTCCACAACAAGTAAAGAAGAATTTGGGGGGGCCAATATATGATGTAGACAAAACTTGCTCTTTCTTTTGGATTTTAACATACTAAATTATTTTATAAAATAAAAACCATGATCCCAAACTCAGTAATTCAATATGGAAATTTATACATTTGCCCAGTAATAAAACACATGTCTTCACAGGTGCACACATGTGGGTAGGTTGAAGTACTATTGGTAATTGGTGTGTTTTACTTGCCATGTGAAACAAGTGCAAGTAACACTTACACAGGGGTTTGGGTTTTTTGTTTTTGTTGTGTGTTTTTTTTTTTTCAGGTGGTACTAGGGATTGAATTCAGAACCTTCACGCTGACCTATATTCTCAGCCCTGTTTCGTTATTTCCTTTAAGATAGTTCACTAAGTTGCCCAGGCTAGGCTCAAACTTGTGATCCTCCTGTCGCAGCTTCCAGAGTGCTAGCGATAAAGGCACGCAGCACCTTGCCTGGCCTACAGGCAGGTTTTGACTGGACTGTGTAGTGGCTGTGGGAGGTGGAGCTATCACTGCACTGTCATAGCCAACCGAGTCATGAAGAATATTGCCAAAGCTCACAGTAAGTTCACAATCTTGCAGAGCCATATGACTAGCTGACCGGGGACATGTGCACCCTGTGGGCCAAGTTGGACACACAAATATGCTGCAGTTTATCCAATTGTACGGGGGTAATAGGGTTTTTAAAAAATTTACTGGATAATACTACAGATATTTTGGTTTGTCCTTTGGTTCATATGTGTACACATTTCTACTGAGTGTATACCAAGAGTGGAACTGCTGGGATAGAGGGTGTGCATAAGCTCAACTTTGATAGTTAGTGCCAAAGCTCCCAAAGTAGTTGTAAGACTCTTGGTCAGCGTGTTACTTCTGGCTTTGTATTGTCAGTTTTTATTTTTATGCATTCTGATACTGCTATTGAATATCTTTTATTATTTGGGTATCCTCTTTGAAGCAGTGGATTTTTTTTTCTTTTTTTTGCAGGGGGGAATAGTGTCTCACTATGTAGCCCAGGCTGGCCTCTAACTTGTGTCAATCCTCCGGCCTCTGTCACCCAAGTCCTGGGATTACAGGTCTGCACCACCACACCTGGCTGAAACAGTTGAATCTTGCTCATTTTTCCTATTAGTTTTTCTTTTTTATATGTGCCTGTGTGGTGCTGGGGAGGAATCCAGGGCCTTGGGCAAGCTGAGCACACGTTCTTCCACTGAGGGACACCCGAACCCCTCACTGATTTTATTTTTTCAGCGGTATTTATCTGAGCTAGATAGAAATCTCTTTTGGATACAGGTATTACAAGTAAAAGTAACTTCCTGTTTTTGGGTGCAGGTTTTTAATTATAAGCAATTCTTAATTTTGATGTATTTTACTTACCAGTCTTTGCCTATGGGTGAGTACTTTCTGTGGTTTTAAACAAATCTTTCTGCACTCCAAGGTCAAAAATATATTTATATTGTTCAGATTTATGATTTTACCTTTCACATTTAGGTTTGTTTTGCTTGAATTTAATATTTATATGTGCAGAAAATCCAGGGTCGAGATTTTTTTCCATATATATATATATCTGTTATATATATATATCAGTTTCCATATATATATATATCCCAGTAGCATTTATTGAGATCATCTTTTTCCTCTCCGAATTTTGGTAGATAAGGTGATTCTGTGTAGGTGTCTGTTCAGATTTGTCTTGGTTACTTTCCTCTTGTTGCTGGGACAAAATACCTGATGCCCAAAATTAAGGAAGGAAAGGTTTATTTCACTTACAGTTTGTGGAGGTTTCAGTCCATACTTGGCTGGCTACAAGGCAGGGTGGCACATGGCAGAGGGCAACCATTCAAGGCAGTGCAACACAGCAAAAGCAACAAGCACAAAATGGCAGCAAGCAGCCTCTTCCTCTCCCTTACATATGCAAACTATCCACCCCAGGGCGGGTGTAGCTCTCACACCCACAATCAACCAAACTCTAAAAGCCTGCCCCATGGCCACATGAGTCTTTGGGGGGACACCCAGACACAAACCATAACAGGATTCTTTTTTGTTCCATAGTAAATTTTGCCTTTGTGTTAATAGTGTCTTTGCTACTGTAATTAAGTCTTAGTGCCTGTTAGCATAAATCTTCCCTCTTTGTTTTTTAAGAATATTTTGACTATTGTGGGCCTTTTGGAGTTCCATATAAATATTAGAATCTACGTATCAGTTTCTACTTTTTAAATAACGTAAATTTAATTGAAATCTAATTGAACCTCTAAGAAAATATGGGACAGGTTGACATCTTTATTGTTCAGCTCTCAGGTCTACCAAACTGTCATGTCCACTCATTTATTTAAAACATTGAGAGAATCCTTTTCTGTGTAGAAATGTTTCTGTGCATATCTTTTGCTGGATAGTGAATTTTTTTGATACTGTGACAATGGATTTTTTTTTTTTGAAATATTGCTAGTATATAAAAATATGATTGATTTTTACTTAGGTACAGTGACATTGTTAAATTCACTGAATACTAATAGTTTTCTCATGTATTCTTTGGACTTTTGTGGAAATGCAATTGTGTCGTTTGAAAGTAGTATCAATTTTGTTCTTTCTAGTCCCTTAGCTTTCTTTTTTTTTTTTTTTTTTTTTTGGTCTTATTACAGTTGCTAAGACCCCCAGTATCATTATAAAGAGAAGGAATGATAGGTGGCATACTTTTTGTATTCCTAAATTCAAGAGAAAATTTTCAGTATTTTAACCTTAGTATGATGATTGCTGTAGATTTTTTCAGTCTCATGCTCTCTAAACTTGGGCCACACTGTAGATTTTTATAGCTACTCTATCATATTGAGTGGATTCTGTTTTATTTTATTTTATTTATGTTTTGATTTTTTTAAAATTAAGTTTATTGGTATATTTTAGGTATACATAATGATAGCATTCACTATAGGGAATTTGAATCTGTACATGCTCTAACTTGATTTTTTTCCCCTAGTTGGGTTTTGTTAACACCTAGATTGCTAATAGGTTTTTATTACTGGGTGTTGAATTTTATCAAATCTTTTCCTGAAGCTATTGAGTTTTTCATATTTTCTTTCTCTATTATGTACTTAGGTCAAATTACATTTATTTAAGGATAAACCACTTTGGCTATAGTAATTTAATATCTCATATATCAGTTGCTAATATTTTGCTTAGGACTTTTGCATCTATTATCATGAGGGAATAAGTTTTTTTTATATTTATAGAGTATTAAACATATTGCTGAGGGATTTTTGTTTATAGGCCCTTAAGAAAGTAAATTATAGGCTAGCAAAACTAGGGATCTATGAAAACTGATACATTATTTTCTGTTTCCAGAGTGTTTAAGTCTGAAATGGTCTCTGACAAAACTGAGTGACAGTTAGGAAGGTGGTTGTGCCTCAGCTTTGTAAAATTTATTTAGTGGAAGCAAACTGTTAGTAGCTGGCTTAAGTCTTTTTGGTTTTGTCTTTTTGTGGGAGTTTTTTTTAGGAGGGGGTTCTTTTTGTTTTATAGTACTAGGGATTGTAGGGCTATTTATTGTCAGCTTTTTTTTTGAGACAGACATTTTATGAGTCGCCCTGCCTTAGGCTCCTGAGTAACTGGAATTACATGCTCACCTATTTCTTTGTGTTATTTTATTTTGTTTTAATTTTATGAAAAAAAACTCGCAAAAGTTCTTAATCAAATAATAAAAGAATAGCAATAGTTATTATACTCTGTATAGTTTATAACATATTATATTATTTAGGATTAGTTTGTTTTTGTCTTTTTTGATGTGAGATCTTTCTATGTTTCATGGCTAGGCTTGAATTCAAGGGTTCCAGTGGTTCTTTCATCTCAGTCTGCAGCAGGGATTACATATAGTATCACCATGCCCTGCATTTATTATCAAATATCATTCCTTTTTAATGACAGCAACAAATGTAATTTCAGAAACTAAGGAGCATCAAGAACCAAAGGTTCCAGAAAGCATGCAGAAACAGTGGCAACCTAAGAGAAGGTCAGAGTGTGTGAACCAGAGCCCTGCTGTACTTTCACATCAGCGACATATTCCAGACATAACCCCAAAGGCTGATACAGAGGTAACTTTCTTTTCCCTGAAAGTACAATATTGCATTTATTCACAATGCATTTCAAACTTTGGTGACCATGTTATTTTCTTTTGTTAAATGCTTATATGCCATATTTTATGAAACAGTTTACTGGTGCAGGGGTTGGCAAATGCCTACTATAGTCTGTGGTCCAAATCTAGTTTCCAGCCTGTGTGGATAAAGTTTTATTGGAACACAATCACACTCATCATTTACTTATCTGAAGCTACTTTTTGTGCCATAAAATCAAAGTTGAGCAGTTGTAATGTGTCTTGGTTACCTTCAATGAGGAGACAAAATACCTGACACCCAAAATTAAGGAAGGAAAGGTTTATTTAGCTCACTGCTTATGGAGGTTTCAGTCCATACTCGGCTGGCTTCAAGGCAGAGTGGCACATGGCAGAGGGCAACAGTTCATGGCAGCAGAAGGTAGCAAAAACAATAAGAGCACAAAGGAGGAGTGGTAGACCAGAGCAAGCCTCTTTCCGTCCTTTATATTGTAAGCAGGTTACCCCCATCCAGGGGGCATGTAGCACTCACATAATCTCCAAGCCCTCCTTTTGCATGGCTCAGGATGAATACAAAGTAAGGACCTTGGCTCCCTGCAGAATCACATGGCTAACCTTCTAAAGTTCTCAAATTGACACAATGAAGGACATCCCAGAAGAGTAAGGGTATGTCCTTTTCACCCGAAGATGCAGAGCTGCTGAGTCACTTAGCCAAGCCTCTAGACTCCCCAAGTTGACATAATGTATCAATCATAACCCAAAGGAAACCATAGTCCTGCAAAGTCTTAAGATATTCGCTGTCCAGTCCTTGACAGAAAACCATGTGCTGATCTCTGCACTAGTATATTATGTCAGCGATTCACCAGTTCCCTGTGGTCATACCCATAGACAAAAATGAAAAACTATCTACTACACAGTCTATATAAATTTGTATCATTTTGTTTTTTGTTTGTTTGCAGTACTGAGAAGTGAACCTTTACTCCATTCCTAGCACTTTATTATATTTTCAATTTTGAGACAGAGTCTCCCTCAGTGGCTAAGGTGCCCAGGCTGGGTTCAACCTTGAGATCTTTCAGCCTCTGCCTTCCAGAGTGCTGGGATTACAGGCATACACCAGTGTACTGACTTGAATTTGTAGCAGGTTGAATGATTATGCCCAGTAGCTCTTTTAGATGGGCCGATCTGGTAAGCTCCTGGAAAGCTGTCTGTATAGTCGCGGTTAGTTAGACTAAAACCTCTCCTGACTGGTTCTTTTCAGTGACTTGCAGTGGAGGAAGGGAAGAGGCAGGAGGGCCTTGTATTCTAAGTCAGGGATTCTCTCGCACTGTGCTTTCCAGATCACTTTACACTCTTCACTGAGGGCCCTAAAGAACTTTGGTTTATGTGGATTATGTTTATCTTGGTTCAACCAAAACCCAAGCAAGACATTTAGAAATGTTTGTTGATTAAAAGTAACCACTGTAAATGTATTACATGTGAATATAAATACAGTGTAAGAATTTTTTTTTTCTTTTTTTCAGTACTGACCCTCAAATCTACTGCAGCCTCAGCTCTTTTGTATTTTAACTGAAGCGACTTTTAAAATTTTGAGATAAGGTCTTGCTGAGCTGCTAAATTGTTCAGGCTAGGCTCAAACTTGTGATCCTCTTGCTTTAGCCTCTTAGAGTAATGTGTTTAGGTATGTGTCACCACATCTGGTAAAATAAGTATTTTCTTACAGTAGTTGCCATAAGAAAAATGGCATCATTGTACAACTTTTGTGAATCTTTTTAGAAGATGATTCTTGTATCTACTTTCACATTTAATCTATTTTATTACATTTCATATAGCCTCTGGAAAACTCTAGTATATACTCATGAGAAAATAAAAGTGAAAAAATCCAGTGTGGTCTTAGTATACTATGAAAATATTTTTAATCATTCAGACCCCCTAAACATGTCATAAGAGGACTACTCCCTCCCCCAGATTTCCTGGACCACTGATCTAGGTAACAGGATGTTAGAAGAAAAGGGTCCTGATAGTTTGAATCATGGATCATAGTAAATAAGCTCTCCTTCTTTTCTTCCTACTAGAACTTGTAGACCCAAGAGGCTGGTAAAGAGATTTAAAACCGTTTATTGGGGCCACTGGCATAGCTCAGTGGTAGAATACATGCTTAGCGTATGAAAGGCCCTGGGTCTGATCCTTACATCCTCGAAAGGGGCAGGGTCATTAGGGAAATACAAATCAAAGTCACAGTTTTTCACCACTTCATAGCCACTAGCATGGTTGTAATTAAAACAAAGCAGTTAACAAGTGCTGAGGCTCAGAAGTATTGTAGGACTCTTATAATACCATTGGTGGAAATGCAGAATGATGTAGTTGCTTTGGAAAACAGTTTGGCAGTTCTCCAGAATAGTAAACATAGGGTTTACATGCTTGTAAGTTCACAGTAGCATTTTCATGATTGCCAAAAGGTAGAAATAAAATTTCTATCAACTCATGAATATGTAATGATACATTCTTACAATGGAATATTGTTGCCAATGAAGTAATGAAGTATTGCTACATGCTACAACATGGATGAATCTTAAAAACATGCTAAGTTAAAGAGTCACAACACAGAAAACTGTATATTATATGATCTTGTTTATGTAAAATGTTCATAATAAATTACAGACATGGAAGTGGATTAGTGGTTGCCCGGCACTGGGAATATTGACAGATACAGTGACTTCTAATGGGTAGGGGGTTTCTTTTCAGGAGATAAAAATATTCTGAAGTTTGATAGTGGTTAATTTACTGAACACCATTGGATAGTAGACTTAGGGGAAAAAATACTAGCCCGTTTCTTGGAGTTGCTGCTTGTCCAGATACCCTCTCAAGGGATAGTTCTTTTTGTGTCACTTCTCACTTGCTTTAGATCTGTGATCTCCCCATTGCTGCGTCCAGCCTATTTCTCTTTTTTTGCTAAAGGCCTGCTCTTTTGAGGATTCTGTTTTGTAGATACGCAGTCCTAGCCTTAGTGCTACGATTTCTGAAAAGCCTAATGACTCTCCATCATTCTTTGTAAATATTAGGCCCTAGGTCACACAAAGCCCCACAACCGTCCTTGTTTTTGCTGACTTCTACACCTCTGTGTATCTCTAGTCCTACAGCCGGCCTTCAAATTCATTATTCCTCTCTTACAAGTATTCCTAATCTAACTTTAACCACCCACTCCTATACCCTCATTTCTGACCTCCAAAAAATTAAATGCAAATACCTCACTATATAGTCACTATTTTTTCCATTTTTGTTACTTAATAATCTTACAACAGCAGCTTCTCAGTCGCATCCTCACCACTAATCCGAGTGTGCCTGTACACGTGCGCATACATACACACACACACACACACACACACACACGAGAAAGTCTTCAATTTACCCAGCAAAAGAACTTTATTAGTTATCTTCAAAACTTAAGAGGACTGCAGTATACAAAATGGATGAGGTTGAGCCATCATGGTTTTTGAGAGCCCAGTAGGGGTTGACATTGTAGTAGAGAAATCAGTTTACTCTAAATAACTGGCAATACTGGTAAGCAGAACTGTCCCTATATTGAAATGAACCTCTGTAGACAGAGGAATGCTTAGTTACTACATATTTTCAAGGAAACTATGGTGTTCTGTTTGGCTGAGATGCTGTGGAGTAGGGTTGGTAAACTTTACAGAAAGAGTTAGTAGGTTTTGCAGGCTAGATGGCCCCTGTTGCAGCTTTTCAGCTCTGCTATTAGAGGAGGAGAACAGCCATAGACCATATGTGAACAGATACACATCCCTGTAGTCCAAGAAAAGCTGGTGTACAGAAGCAGGTGGCAGGCCAGATTCAGCCGTTAGCCTGTTGTTTTCTGATCCCGACGGTCAAGGATAGTCCTTCATCATCTTTTGGGGATTTATCCGAGATGAACCACACAGGTTCTATGTGTCATATAAGAGAAAACAATACAGATAGACTTTTGCCATTTTGTTTTTTGCTAAATCATTAGTACTTACCTCTTTTTTTTGTTTGTTTTTTGGTGATGAGATTGAACTGAGGTCCTCACACTTGTGAAGTATATGCTCTACCACTGAGCTACGTGCTTCCCCTGCTGTTTTATATTGTAAAAAGTTTAATACCTATTACAAAAGCTCCAGTAGGGAAGAATGTTAAGTCTTGTTTTGTTAAACTGTTTTGTGTACCTTCCCTTCACTTATAATCATTTTGAACAGAATAAGTTAGATTTGAAAGTTCAGAGTAAAAGAGCTATATTAAAAAATTATTGAAAAGTATAAAACATATATGCTTATCTGTTTTAGTATGATTTTGTTTTTCATATTTGCTATTATTTTCTTTTAGATTAATAATGCTTGTTAAATTATCGAACAAGTTACTAATTGAAAAATTCTAAATCATGACTTTTTAAATTTTCTTTTAGCAGAAACACACCACTGCTGAGCAACCTACCATTTCAGTTTCAAAGCAGTCGCCACCCTTATCAGTGCCTAAATGGATTGATCCAAAATCTGTTTGTCAGACACCAAGTAGCAATACCCTGGATGATTACATGAGATGGTAATTACCTTTGGTACCTAGTTCAGGACTCAGGATGATAAAGTAGGAATAAGATGAACTTTGAGGCCAAATGGATCTGGGGTTGAATCTTTGCAAATTATTATTTTTCTCAGCATCATGTTTTTCATCTGTAAAACATGAAGGGGAGAGTGGTAATGATAATATTTTAATATTATATAGGATATTATAAAAGATAACAATGTTATGAAGAATGATTATGAAGGTAGTATTGTCATATTTGTATTTATAACCTATAAATCTTCTAAGGAAGCAACCTTTAATAATCTTGCATTTGTCTTGTGGATACCTCTCTTACTTAGAGATACTTTAAAGCAAGGTCATCAGCATTCCTAGGGTGGATAGAGAATGCAAAAATACCATCATGAGGAGTGTTAATTGGAATGTGATTGTTTTTTGGAAGAGGCTGGTTTACAGTTCACATAGTTCTGAAGGTATTCAAATTAGCAAAGACTTGAGTAGATAGGAATAAAGGATGAGTGAAATTGGATGGTCAGTACTCATTAACAGGAAACACAAGGAGTATTACAAAAATAAAGGGGTGTGATACATCATCTTTAGCTGGTGGCTATATATTTATAATATGTTTTTAATGACTTCGGTGACAGTTTAAGACCATGATATCTTTGTGTTTTCATGATGTATCTTTGATCTTAGCTAGACCTGGTCTCTTTTCACAACCAGAGGGTTATCTATTTAGTATAGTTTGGGGATATATCGCCTCATTTTACTATATTAGAATATTTTAAAGAATGATTGCTAACTAAAATAATGATGTAGATGTTTCTTGTGATATTAGATTATTTATTGTTAATATTTACAGACATCCTTTGTGCCAAGTACTATTGTAGAGGTAGAACAGACAAGGTAATGGGTTGTAGGCAAGGTAGGAAGCGAAGGGCCAATGTGTATTGAACATACTGAACAAGTAAAGGCAGGACTTCTCTTGGTGTGTGATTAGATATTTTAGCAGATTATAGAACATTGTTGTGCTAAAGCACTCATACAATCTTTGCTCATTTACATGCTGGTCTGTACTTTAAATTCTTGCAAAGTAATACTAACTCCATATTTTAAAAGCCATCTTATTTACTTTAGTAGTAAGGATTTCTTGTCTGATCACCAAAAATTAACTTCACGAAGAACTCTCTAATATAAAATATTTGGTGGTGATGTCGCTGGAATAAATAAAGATTAGCTCTAATATAAAAACTAACTTGGGTTCTGTGTGATGTAGCACTTTTAAGTCTGTATCAGCCTTTTTTTTAAACACTTGAACACTCAATCAGAATCTTGTTCTTTTAAATTTGTGTATTTTTAATTGAGGGTGAAAACGATCTCTCCTAGTTTTAGAACTCCAGTTGTCAAGAATGAGTTTCCCCCAGTGTGTCCGCCCTCAGCCCTGCACAGCCGATTTGCCTGCTTCCAGCAGCAGCAGCAGCAGCAGCAGCAGCAGCAGCAAGATCCTGTTACTCCTCTGCAGAACCTACAGGTTCGAGAAGCTTTGCTTATGATGACTTACGTTATGTACAGTCAGACAGACAGACAGACCTTTCTCAGAACAGTATCTAGTTGTTAGGAAAGGTCTTAAGAGCTTTTGATAATCCCAGAAAGGTATGCATGGTAAATTTGAGAGCAGAAGCTAATGGAGCTGTTCTTGTTAACAAGGTGCAAAGATCCAGTCTCAATAATGGAATAAAATTCCTCTTATAACTGAGTTTACTTTCTATTCTATTTACTATTTAATTCAGGTCTTTGTGAACAGCTCCATTTCACTTGTTAATTAATAAAAATTCATTTGGAGAAGTAAATCTTCAAGATTTTGAAAGTAGCAAGAAGAGGTGCTACTATAAACTAACAAATATTTTGGTGAGGCAGTTGCATTACTATATGAAAAAAATAAATGAGACACTCTTGACACCAGTACCTAACTTTAGTGTATAGTAACTCTGAGAGACAGCTTCCTAGACAGCTGGCCTGGGCATAAATCTTAGCCTCACCACTCACCAGCTATGTGATTCTTTTTTTTTTTTTTTTTTTTTCCTCTAAGTTACATAAACTATTGTGCCCATTTCATTATCCATAGAAGAGGGAGAAAAGCTACCTACCCATAGGATAGTTGTGAAGAGTCTATTAGTTAATATATGTAACTCTTAAAGCAGAACACAGCACTTAGTGTATAATAAATACTGGCAGAAATTGTTATTTAAATAAAACAGCAAGAACTAGGAATTACCTAGTTTTTAAAACCAATTGATGAAAACTTGATAAGAATCAGAGTGAGGTGGTTATTGGTCTGGGGAGGGAGGAACGGGGAGCTCTGCTCGGTGGGCGCAGAGTTTCAGTCTGTGATAATGAGAATTGGGACTGGATGGTGGTGATGTTTGTACAATGATGCAAACATACTGAACCCCAGTGCATTGTACTTGAAAATGATTAAAATGGTAAATTTTAGTTTATGTGGTAAAATGGTAAATTTAGTTTAATTGCCACAATTTAAAAAAATAGAGGGCTGGGGATTTAGCTCAGTGGCACCCCGCCTGCCTGGCAAGTGCAAGGTCATGAGTTCGATTCTCGGTACTGGAAAAAAAAAAAAATAGATCCCTGAATTAGCCTATGGTAGGTTATTTTTTACAATGGAGAGAGTTTTGAGATAATATAATTATATAGTAAACAGACATGATTTAATTTAATTCAGAACACACTAATTGAGCTACTATGTATGCCAGGCCCTGTTTGGGTCAAAACTTGGAACATGCATCTGAGGACAAGAAGGGGCTTGAGGCACCTTCTAGAGGAGGCAATGTCAGGAGGGAAATGATGAGAGGTCAGGCAGGGTGCAGCTGGGGTCAGGGCAGGGCGAGTGTCAGGGTTCTGATGGGCCTTCTGGGTTTTCTCCTCATGGGGACAGGAAGCTGTGGTAGAGGTTAAAGCAAGAGAATAAACAGATCTGCTTTGCATTTTGAAGAGGGTGTAGGAAGAGGGTGTGGATGTCCTATGCAGGAAATGAACCTCACTGGTATTGAATAGTGTTAAGTTAGAATTCCTCCCTTCTGAAAGCTTCTGGCAGCCATGGGAAGGAGCTCAGACTGCCTTCTTCCCTAAGTGGTGTCTGAAGTTTAAGGAAGAACAGAGAAGACAGGAAAAGGAAGGAGGCAGGGAAAACCTTGATGAAATTACAGCGTATGTATCTATCAAAGCTTCATATTTTCTTCTGGGAAAATTATTTCATGACTCAACAGTGTCTTTCCACCCTAGAGGCTAAAAGAAAGGAGACTCCTGGGCTGGGCCCATCGTTCAGTGGCACAGCGCTTGCCTAACATTTGAAGCCTCGAGCTTTGGATCCCAGCACCACCAAAAAGAAAGAAAGAAAGGAATTAGAATCCTTTATCAAAAAATTTATGTTTCAACTTTTTTACTAACTTAGATGAGTTGTCAGCACACCGGCATTTATAGGCGCTCAGATCTTCCACCAGAAGGAGCGGGTGGAAGGGAAGATGTATGGTACATCAACTGCAAGTTCGCTGGGGAGGAGGTGCGGTCGGGAAGAAGTGACTGGCTGGCACTCAGCTGGAGGAGGGGCCCGGGTGCTGCAATGTGTGCCTGTCGGATTAGCGGGCGCTCACAGTACCTCAGCACGTTCCTTTGTTATGTAGTGCCAGAGCAGAAAAGAATGGAACTGTAACCATGTATTTATGTATGTGAGAGGTGTAAGGAAAAGAAAGATAAAAAAGTGATAGTTCATGAGTTTGTATGTTGGATTTTAAGTGTTTTTTCTTCTTAAATTTTCTATTTATGTTCATGAGTAAAGGCCAGTTACAGGACATCTTAGAAGTTTATCTATATATTAATTTAATAAGTTTATTTCTTTAATTAAAGTTTGCTGAGCAAGTTCACTTTTTAAATAGTGTAGCATGTCTCATTATTTGAAGATAATTTTAAAATTGGGCACATTTCACTGTATGAAATGCAAACTAGTTTCTTAGGTATATTCTTTGAATTTATGTATATTTTAATTTTTAGATTGCAGGATCCTCAAGTGAATGCATTTCAGTTAAAGGAAGAATTTATTCCATATTAAAGCAGATAGGCAGTGGAGGTTCAAGTAAGGTAAGTATCTTCAATTTAGGAAACAGAAAATTTTAAAACTTTTTTTTTCTCCTAGGGGTCCATGTAGTCCTAGAGCCAAAAAAAGTCACCTCATGCTCTGACCTCCTCCTCCTCCTCCCCCAAGAAATGCAGATCCTCTTGGGACCTCACTCTTAGTTCCAGTCTCGAGCCTTTCCCTCCACTCTCTGGTGCTCCCAAACGTATTCTCTCCTAACCTTAATAATGTGAGTGTGCACGGCAAATGACCATTGTGTGTTACCACAGAAGACTCTTTCTCAAAGTGACTCCAAACATGATGTGAATTACTAACATGCTTAGGATCATTCAGCAAAGATTTTCACTAATGGATTTGTTCTGTTTGGTGTATGTGTGTGTGTTTATTTCAAAACATGTCAGTAAGGGGCTGGGGATTTAGCTCAGCGGCAAAAGCGCCTGCCTGGCAAGCGCAAGGTCGTGAGTTCGGTTCCTGGTACCGAAGAAAAACCAAAAAAAAAAAAAACATGTCAGTAACAAATGAGTTTCTTGAATTAGATTCTTTCCTAAATTCCTCTGAGTTCTAAACTTATATAATCCCACCTTTCCTGAAGGTGGGCATGGCAGTACACGCCTGTAATCCCTGCACTCGTAGAGGCTGAGGCAAGAGCATCACAACATTGACGCTAACCTGGGCAACTTGGACCCTGCCTCAAAATAAAAAAGGCTAAGGATGTAGCCCAGTGTGAAGACCAAGAATCCTTTCCTGAGCACTCATATCCCGAAGTAGGCTACCAGTCTGCCAGCTGCTTCCACCGTCACAGCAGCATCTGCTCTCTGAATCTAGGGTTCACTCTCAGGGGTCTGTGATAGATGTTGCGCACCACTGCGTTGCTCTGCACATATGTACCTCCCTTTTCCTCTGCCTGTGTTTCCCTCTGTCCTGTAGTTACATCATCAATGGCAAATCAATGAAGGAGACTTGAGATCAGATCTTAAAAAGTAATAAAGTTATGATTCTAATTCTGTATGGATGGAAGGCGTTTAAGCACTGTTTATATAATGAATTCTCATTCTCTTAAATCTATTGCAGTCAGTTTTTTTACTTAGTCACTCACCAAAACAACTGTTTTGAAGATATATAACCTCTTCTTTTTTTTGAGATAGGGTCTTGCTATGTAGTTCAGGCTGGCCTTGTTATCATAGTGATCCTCCTGCCTCAGCCTCCCGAGTGCTGGGATTATAGGCATGTGCCACCACGCCTGGCAATAACTGGCATATTTTTGCTAAATGTAGTTCTTAGCTTTGGTTTTAGGTTATGTTAGTATTGCAGATGGTTGGCTTGCTCGCTGTGTCCCTCAGGGTTTTTCCTCCAGTTGCCCCTCTGCTTTCACTCCTCACATATCTGACCCCAGTGATGCATTACCTAGGACTCTGGCCTTGTCCTTTTTTTTTCTGTCTCTAAACTCACATTCCTTTGCTATTCTCCTCCAGTTTTGTGGCTGTAAGTCCCACATTTTGCCAACACTTTGCAGCCTTGTTTTTCTGGTTCAGGCTTCTTCTTTCAACTCTAGACTTACGCATCAAATATGACTGCTCAGCACCTCTTTTGGGCTACAAGGCCTTTAAAACAGAATGTGCAGCTGTGACTTGTGCTCTGTGGTCTTTCCTGTTGCAGTGAATGACAACTCCATTCTTCTAGCTGCTTGACCAAAACCAGCTAATTGGTTTTTCTTATTCTCATTACACATGTAGCCCATCAGCAAATCTGACTTGTTCCAGCTCAGAATGTCTCCAGAGTCTTATTTTCACCAGCATTAGGACTTTGGTTGGAGCAGCTGTCATCTTTTCACTTCGTTTATGACAGAGGAGTCTTGCTGACTCAGCCCCCGCCCTCCTGGTCTGTTTGAACGCAGCAGTTACCTCTGTAGGTTTCCTCCTGGCTGTGCTCAAGTGTCTCTTCCCTCAGACTTTCCCTGACTGTTCTCTGACACTGCCCCTTTCCAGCCACCAGTGTTTTTCATTCCCCTTTGCTTGTTCTTTGTAGCTTATCCGCTAATAGGCTCATTATTGATTTGGTTTGTTGTTTATATCCCCTGCCTTGAATGTGAGCTCCATGAAGAAAAGGGGTGCTTGCCTGTTTGCACAGCGGCATTAGCTCCAGTGGCTAGAACGGAACCTAGGACAGAAAGAGGACTGAATTAAAAGGGCATGTAGGGTAGGCATATGGCTCAGTGCATGGCCCTGGGTTTAATTTATGGCACCAAAAACAAGCAAACCCAAACAAAACCAGCAAGTTGTATACTTTACCATGTGGGGCAAGTCTTCAGTAAATATTAATTTAGTCTCTTTATCCGTTCCCATTCTCTTGTTCCTGTTCCCCTTATGTCAAGTTTCAGAAATGGGAATAAAGGAATAATACATTGATTTTTACCAATTTCTTTTAATTACCTGATTTAATTGCTTTAGTAGAAATTCTCTGTCCAGTATTTATTCCTTGTTAGTTATATGACTGTATTTTAGTGATGTCAAGGTATTGACACTTATTAGAGGGGTTCCTTTGGTGGCATGTTTCCAGAGGATGCACAATAGCCCTAATGGTGCTCTAAACATTGTTTACTTGGAGGCTAATTTTATTAAGTCAAGGGCCACCTGATAGTGCTATGATGGACTCATAACTTCTGAGTTATTTTAAATTATCATTCAATTTAATTATGGTGGAGTTGAAAAAAATCAATATGCATTAGAGAAAGAGGTAAGTTCGGGCAGTTATCAACTTATACTGCATTAAAGCATGTACAGCAGTCATGGAGCTAAGATCTTACATGGCTTCAGTTCCATCCATGATTCTTCTGATGTATCTGGCAACTTTAGCGTGTTTGAAAAATGTCCACTGTACTTTGTCCTGCGTGTCTTCAATGATGACAGCAGACATTTGACATGCTTCAGATGCACAGCAGAATACTATGGGTCATCTCAGTTAGTGTTTAGCACTGGAGAGGTTGGACTGCCGAGCAGAGTGGAGCTGCTGTTTGCATGCTGCTATTTAAAAGTTTTATGTTGTGTGCGTGTGTGTGTGTGTGTGTGTGTATGTGTGTGTGAGAGTGAGACTTTCTATGATGTTCACACTTTATGATGGTAAAGCCTATTTTATTGTATGATGATACCACCCCGTAGCTTACTAAACAGGTGTACAAATAAGACATAACCATTAACTCAGGGTTCTGGGCTTCAGTATTACACCTTACACAGTAATGCTCTCAATCCTTTTAGACTTATGAGGCTCTCTGCCTTACACAAAATGACTTTTGTTGCTCTGTATTAAGAGTCCTTTTGTCTCTTTCACTCTTATTTTCTGCTGCCTCTTACCCTATCACTGTTTTGTGCTCCACCTCCCTCTGATTTTCTGTGTGTCAAAGTAAAACCAATAACACTTCCTTACAGAATTCTGTACTTAATAATTAAAAGTAAGCCATCTTTGTGGGCTCAGTGGACGTTCATTACCAGTGTAGTCTGTACTTGTGACCCTCAAATGTGCTTCATCCTCTTCAGTCCTGTTCAGTGTCTGCTGGGCAGTCAAGGTTAAGTGACTTCTTACTTCAGTGTCATGGTAGAGACATGAATATAACTTGCATGTGCTAACATTTTGTATTTGAATTCTTGAGGTTTGAAAACATCATCCTGGGGGCTGGGGATTTAGCTTAGCGGCACAGCGCCTGCCTGGCAAGTGCGAGGTCATGAGTTCGATTCCTGGTACCGGGGAAAAAAAAGAAAACATCATCCTTACTGCACATTTAGACCAATTAATAGGGTTTCTTTTCAAAATGATGTCTGTTCTATCAAATTACTTCAAAATCAACAGTCCATTGAGCCAAGGCAATTTCATCTGGACTTTATAGATCCTGACAGAATATTTAAGAGAACATATTCCTGCAAACTTACCTTGTTTGGTTTTTGGGGTTTTTGTGCAAACCGAGACCTATTCTACTTTTTATAATTGAATATGTTGATAGCTTACAGTTAATTTTTTTTAATATTCTCCCATCACATGAATGAACTTGTCAACAATAGACACAAGGGAAAAAACTTATTATCTAGGAAATGACTTGTCTGTTTATTATAGCCTTAGTAACTGTGAACACTTCTGAATGTCTTCTTCACCACATCATTTCCATGGCTAAGGCATACTAAAGAGTGTTATGAACGTATACCAAATTAAAAGTACTTTTCTTATATATTGATGAGAAAATTTTTAAGTTTATACTTTTGAGTTACTGAATGTTCATTATCATGTGGTTAGAAGTGAACTATTTCTTATGATTTTTTTTTTTCCTTCTATATTCAAACTAGGTACAGAAACTTTTCATTTTTCATGTCAGTATTTCCTTTAGAATTTTCTCAATCTAAAATTATTTCCAATACATTGTGCTAGTGGTATGTACTGAACTTTATCTCTTTGTTGTGTTACATAGGTATTTCAGGTCTTGAATGAAAAGAAACAGATATATGCTATAAAATATGTGAACTTAGAAGAAGCAGATAACCAAACAATTGAAAGTTATCGGAATGAAATAGCTTACTTGAATAAACTACAGCAACACAGTGATAAGATCATCCGCCTTTATGATTAGTAAGAATCTGTTTTAATTAATTAATTACATTTATTTTTGCCTGTTTGAGACAGGTTTTGTTATGGAGTTCATGCTGGCCTTGAACTCACTTTGTAACCCAGGCTAGCCTCGAACTCACAGTGATCCTCCTGCCTCAGCCTCCCAAGTGCGGGGATTATAGGCGTAAGCCACCAAGCCCTGCTTTTTAATTTAAAATAAAACCTTTTTCCTGTAATTTTAGGTGAATACTTAGTAAATCTTGCTATAACCTAATCATTTATTTTTTATTGCTTTTATTTTTAATTGCAGTGAAATCACAGATCAGTATATCTACATGGTAATGGAATGTGGAAATATTGATCTTAATAGTTGGCTTAAGAAGAAAAAGTCCATCAATCCATGGGAACGCAAAAGTTACTGGAAAAATATGTTGGAGGCGGTACACACAATCCATCAACATGGTATTTTGAAATCTCTTCATATGTGTAAAGTTAAACTATTTGTTAATAGTGTCATCCTAGAGAAATATGCCTACAACTTTACTGGCACCTTTTAATGAAATGAACTAAACAGTTAAAAGTGTATTTAAAGATGAAGGAACAAATCCATGTGTTTTGTTGGCAATACTTCTACTGAGCTACATCCCCAGCTCTTTAACTACATTCTGTTTCAAGACAGGATCTTGCTACATTGCCCAGATTGGTCTTGAACTTACAGTCTTCCTCTCCCAGTCTGCCAGAGTGCTGGGATCACAGTTGTTTGCCACTATGCCCAGCAAACCCATTTCTTAAAACAGTGTGAACTCAAAGGATATAGGACATAAACTCAAGTTCCTATATGCATAAGGAAAATGTACCTTTATCAGTGTTGATGTAATCTATGCTCCTTATCTCCAAATGCATACTGTGTATCTAAGACTTTAGTGTTCATCCAGGCATCTTGAAAATATGGCTTGAAAATATTACTTCCCTCAGTCTCCTTTTGATTTTGTGTTATATGTCCTATGTGAGAGTTGTGGTTTCTTTCAACAGATCCTTGCTCTTAGTTCTCTTTAAAACTTTAAAAGGTTCTGTGCCTTTTAAAATAAAACAAAACAAAACAATTTATCTCCTCTTCATTTTCTCTTCCTGTAAGTTAAAGGTCACTGATCAGTGGTCACATCAAGGCTTTGGGGATGGAAGCGCCAAAGTACTCAGCTCACACTACCTGGCAGTTATAATCACCATTTTCTCGGCTGGGCAGGGAGCAGCAGTGGGTAGACTCTGAGGCCAGACTCATGGCTTCAACTCATGGCATTATCGTTTAGGCCTTATGTCCTTGGACAATTTACTTAAACTCAGTTTTCTTGCTTTAAAATGGATATAATAGTGCTATTCATCTCAGCATTGTTGTGAGAATTAAATAATCCATTATGATTTAAAAACTTAGAATGGTGACTGGCCCCTAGCAAGTGCTGTGAAAGTGTAGCATATTTAATTGTTTTTTTTTTTTTTTTTTTTTTTTTTTTCCGGTACCAGGAACCGAACTCATGACCTTGCGCTTGCCAGGCAGGCGCTTTGCCGCTGAACTAAATCCCCAGCCCCTAGCATATTTAATTGAGTTGATTAAAAAAAACCAATGTGATCCATAGATTGTGAAATGTTTCTGCCTGCAGAGTATTTTACATTGTCTTATATAATGCATTTTTTACTTGAAGGCATTGTTCATAGTGATCTGAAGCCTGCTAACTTCCTAATAGTTGATGGAATGCTAAAGCTAATTGATTTTGGCATTGCAAACCAAATGCAGCCTGATACAACAAGCATCATTAAAGATTCTCAGGTAGGACTTTGAGTGGATGGTCAGGTACAACACCACTGAGTTCAGTTACTTTGCATGTGTGACTGCCTGTAGGTGTGATATTTTCACCCACCTTGTGATATAAAGGATTTGAAATCATGTAAGAACAGACACTATGACTATAAAAAGATTTAAAACCATGGTCAGTACAATTTCGAATAGAAAATAAACTTTAGATAGAAATATATGCGACAGTTTTGCATACTTTTTCTACAGCGGAGATAGAGAAGCAGTAGTACTTGCCTTGGAAGTCACCTTGGTCACGGTCTGAAGTTGACCTGATGTCTGGCTCAGCATTTCTGGGTAGCAAGCTGAGGGAACTGCAATTACATTTTTTTCCCCCACTGTCCATGAAATAAGATTATTTCTGTTCTTCCAGAGAAGAAAGTTTTTCTTATCACTTAAATTGGGGGGAAAAAAAAACTTTAAGAGAGCCTTCATATTGGAACAACAAGCATTTTTATGATAGGATATTCAGTAACAAACGAAAGAAGTTATCCCATAAAAGCTAAAGCAGTGGTGCTAAAGAACAACTAAAAGGTAATCTTCATTGGCACTAAGGTGATGTGTTCCGTGTAGCAGATTTCTGTTGCAGAAGCGCTTTAACCCAAGAGGCAAAACCAGGCTTTGTTAAGAGCATATCCTTAAAACAATTTGATTTGACAGTCATTTCTTTTAACATCCCAAGTATGGCTAGACTTTGATTATTACAGGGGAAAAAAATGTTGAGTCTATTTCTGCACAGAAATGAGTGATAATCATTCCCTCAAAGTTTATGGCCATTAACAGAATTTTAGCCTGGACATTGGAAGGCAGATAATACTATTTGTCCTCTATAATTATACAGAAAGCACAGCATTCTGAACGCAGTCAGATTGGTTACAGTCTTAAATGAATTTTTTCAAATTCTGAAGCCAATTTCATTCTGCTCCAGTTATGATTTGATCTACAGCTTAACAGTGTTGGCAGTTACTTGAATTTTTCAAGCATATCACTGAAATCTATCATTGTCCTACTTTTCAAGAATCTCATGTGTATTTTTAAACATCTAAAGCAAAATGAAACATTTTCATTGATTTGTGTTTTCTCTTCCTTGGCAAATAGGTTGGCACAGTTAATTACATGCCACCGGAAGCAATCAAAGATATGTCTTCCTCAAGAGAAAATGGGAAATCCAAGTCCAAGGTACTATAAATATTCCATTTAATTGGCACCAATAAACTCAGCACATAAGTTTAAGTTCTAAAATTTCGTAGTCCCTTACTGTATAGAGATCTTGCCTTCTTAAGCTGGTTGTGATGGGATTCAATTTCAGTCTTTTTTATTGATTTAAGATTGTTCTTTAATGTTATCCTTTTAATACGATGATCCCTTGCTGTGCTCCCACAAGAAATTCACCTAACCCTAGTGCAGTGGTCCATGCCTGTAATCACAGCACACGGAGGCTGGGGCAAGAGGGTCCCACATTCAAGCCCACCTTGAGCAACTTAATGACTTAGCAATACCCTGTCTCAAAATTTTAAAAATGAACAAAGGAAGGGGATGTAGCTCAGTGTGAAGGCCCTGGGTTCAATCCCCAATACTGCCAAAAAAGAGAGAGGGGGCATAACTAGGATATTTTTTGAATTTAAAATTTAAGGGGAAAAAATACCAAATTAGCTCCGATTTGGATACCTGAAAATATTATTGCATTTGATATCCTTTGAAGGATTGTTTCCTAATTCTTCAATTTTTTTTTTCATTTATCATTTGTTTATAAGTTGAGCATTTCCAAGTATGACTGGAATATGTAGATTTTTCTTGTCCTTTCTTTCCTTTCTACTGTATTTCACCAACTTCCTAAGCTTTGTGATAGCCTCTTTGGTGCCCTTGTCAGGTGCCTTTTGCCTGTCATGCTCTCTCAGGCCCCCAGACTAATCCTCCTCCCGTCTCTGCAGCACTGTGACCAAGTGCGTGTGAACACACTGTGTCCTGGGGACCTTGTCGATCACCGTTACATTGAGAGATGTTACTGAGATGTGGCTTATTTACTATCATTGTTTTCTTTTTCTGTTCATGGATCCTTTGTTTTTCTTTTCCTGGTGTTTCTTGTTTATCCATTGACTGGCAAATTTTCTCTGTGCTTTCAGCACAATTCATTGTTTCTGTTGAGCATATTCTTGAGTATTTTCTGTAGAGCTGGTTTAGTACATCTTTTTCATGTTAATGCCTTATTTCTCCATCAATTTGGAAGAAAAGCTTTGCTGAGTAAATTAATCTGGATTGGAAATTATTTGCTTTTAGGGCTTGAAATACTTCACTCCAACCTCTTCTGGCTTTCAGGGTTTGTGCTGAGAAGTCTGCTATGATTCTAATTGGTTTACCTTTATAAATGATTGTTTTGTTGTTTTTGGCTGCCTTTAAAATTCTATTTATTTGTTTTTCTGAGTATCTATAAATTTAATGAGGATATACCTTGGTGAGCGCCTTTCGTCATAATTGTTTGATGTTTGTTGTAGTTTGTGTCTTGATGTCCCCCAAAGCCTCGTGAGTCATGGAGGCTGGTTCTAGTGTTTGTGATCGATCCATGGTCCAATGCTGGGATTACGGGTGTGAGTGCTACACCCACACTAGGGGGGGTAGCCTGCATACACTATAAGGGAGGGAAAGAGGCTCGCTGTCTCTCTCTTCCCTTTCTGCTCTTGGCTGCTTTTGCTGTTTTCTGCCACCATGAACTGTTGCCCTCAGCCACACCACCCTGCCTTGGAGCCAGCTGAATATGGACTGAAACATCTACACGCTGAGCTAAATAAACCTTTCCTTCCTTAATTTTGGGTGTCAGTTATTTTGTCCCAGCAACGAGAGAAAAGTAACCAAGACAGTGTTCTATAAGCATCACTTATTGTATTTTAAACTCTTTTCTTATATTTGGGAAATTTTCTTGCATAATTCCTGTGAGCATGTCAGTGGATCCATCTGTACTATGTTCTGTTTCCTCTCTAACTAGATTGGTCTTCCTGTGGTCCCCCAGTAGCTGCTGGGTAGTCTTCGCTTGTTCTCTATTTTCTTTGTGGCTTCTTTGAATGCTTTATTGCACTATTTTGTCCTCAATATCAGGCGCACTGTCTTTCACAGTAGTCATTTCTGCACTGTATGAATTCTCTTTTTTATTTGAGACATTTCTATTTGACATCTTTTCAAGGATTCTATATTCTTCTTGGATCTGTTGTTCAAATTTTGAGCTATTTTGGTTAGCTCTTCCAGTTTTTTACCTATTTCCCTGAAATTCACCATGGAAACATTGAGTGTAATTCCTGTGAACTTTGGTTCATTTCCTCTTTGAACTCATCTATTTTCTTCATCCCTTCAAAGAACTTTTCATAGATTTCTGCTACCAGATACTTGTTTTCTCCCCGGCTCTGCCTTGGGAGAGTTGGGGTGTTTGGCGAGCTTCTGTTTCCTTGTTTTTTCCATTCTTTTACTTGTATCTATGCTTATTTGTTTATATATTATATATATATTTTATATATTTTTTTAAAAAATTATATACGACCCCTTTTTTCCTCCTTTTTTTGGGAAGGACAGGTTACTGCAAGTGGGGGACTAGAGAAAAAGTGAGGAGAGCCTGTGGCTCATATGCAGATATTTTACGTGGATGTTTCCTCCCGTGAATAACTTTTAGCTTTGTGTGTCTGGTGCTAGTATTTACACCTGCTGTTACTTCCTTTAAGTGATTTTGACTCTATGTTTTGCCAAATGAATTGCTTCTATTTATAACGGTGTCCACAGCTTCAGTCTTCAGCACTTCTGTGTGGTGGTCCTTGCCCTTACACAGTTGGCAGTTTGTTATCTGTGGTTGCTCTGCACCTGCGGGGCAGGGAGCTGAGGTGGGGTGGGAGGAGTGAGAGGTGACTGAATGGGTGGTGATAGGCAGCGAGTGGGAAGTTTGAAGGAGCAGACTAGTGGTAGACAAGAGACAACTGATGTGGGGTCTGCTTTTATTGGAGTACTTTCAGTTAACTCCCTCACAGCTTCCAGTCTCTCCTGCCCGCACTCCTGTAACTCCTGCCCGCTCCCCATCCTACGCCTCTGGCTCTTCCATAGCTTCCCTAGCTTGTTGTCCTCTGGTTCAGAAAGTTCTGACAACCACACAGCTTTTCCCAATCACAGGGTGAACCTCCTTCTCCCATATCTAAGCCTTGCCCCACAGAATACCCTGCCCTCTCCTGACTGGCCTTCCTGCATCCACACTGGGGCTTTGGGAGTGTGGTGCGGCGCGGTGCTGCTGTGGAACCCAGGTTGAAATCCCCACGCCTTCCCTGCTCTGGCGTCCTCACCGGCCCCCGCGCCGTTCGGGGTGTGTCCTTCGTGCTGGCTCTGGAAGCAGCATCTTGCATTCTTCCTGCTGATAGGCTGAAACCCTGGAGCGAGACTGAGACCACGAAACAGGCAGGTTGAGGCAAACAGCGATATCCATATTTCAGACCCAGGCGGTCGGGCCGAGGACGAGAATGTCATTGGCCCAGGGTGAGCGGAATGAACAGGCTTTTTAGAGCAGCTTAGGTACAAAACTTGGGGTCTCTGAGTAAGGGGTCTGAGGCTGGGTAACAGACAGGACGGTGTTGGGTGCAGGGGCTGCTGGTGGGCCAGCATTTCTCATGGTTTTTCACAGAATCAGCTGTCTGAGGTTAAGTTGTGTGGGGCAGCTGCTAGCATCCTGCTTGTTCAGTGCTGTGCCTCTGCAGGTGTGAATAACAGACCTGCCCGGAGACCTGACACCTGCTGTCTCTAACTGCATGAGATTATCCTGGTGGGGTGAGGTGCTCTGGTTCTCCCTGAGCAGAGAGGTTGTTAGTTTTGCTTCGCCTCCTAGCCAGGAGCCTGCCAACCGCAGTTGGCGGCACTGAGGTCTCTCCTCTGGGGCGTGGCCCACCTCTTCTCTATCTCTTTTTTTAGTTTAGTTTTTGTTTGTTCTACGAGGAATCAAACTCAGGGCCTCGAACTTGCCAGGCAGCCTGTGCACCACTGAGCTACATCCCCGGCCCCACCTCTGTCTCTCTTGGTCCTATTTTGTTCCTCTTTGTCAGTTCCCTCATGGTTCCTGGTTCCCGTTCCCTTCCTCCTACTTCACTTCCTCTCCAAGCTGGTTTTATAGACGGGACACCGCCCTGGTGAGGCTGAGTTGCTGGCACTCACTACTCCGCCCTTTTGTCTCCAGAGAAGCTCATCTCTTAATGAAATAACCAAATATATGGAAGCTAGAAAAAAAAGTCTGTCGTGTAAACTTACACAGTCAGTGCAATTTAATTGTAATTTTATGATTGTGGTTTTATTCATTTATTTATTTATTTATTTGGTACCGGGAATCGAAATGATGACCTCAGGCTTGCCAGGCAAGCACTTGTGCCGCAGACCTATATCCCCGGCCCTATGATTGTGGCTTTAAATACTGATATTCTTACATTTTATATTAAAATAAATCAACTTTTTGTATTTTGTTTTATTTCCAACCTAGATTAGCCCCAAGAGTGATGTTTGGTCCTTAGGATGCATTTTGTACTATATGACTTATGGAAAAACACCATTTCAACATATAATTAATCAGATTTCTAAGTTACATGCTATAATTGACCCTAATCATGAAGTTGAATTTCCTGATATTCCAGAGAAAGATCTTCAAGATGTATTAAAGGTAATATTAACAGTAAATGGGTGTAGTAAGATAGTATTTTATATAATTGTTTGCTTAAAAGAAATAGCTGAAATGATTGGAGTTATGTAACTGGCTTAAGTATAACTGGTCTATTGAATTGCTGGCGGAACTTGGTTTTAGCATGCTTTGTTTATTTGAAGATGTTCCAAAATGTAGTGCTTGGGGTTTTGTAAAACGTTGTTTAAGTAGGTGTCTAGAAAGCAATTTCTGTAATATGAAATCTAGAAAAGTATTTTATCAGTGCCCCATAAAAAATTCTAATTAATAAAAGAGAATCTTTATTTTTTTTAGTGTTGTTTAATAAGAGACCCTAAACAGAGGATATCTATTTCTGAGCTCCTGGCACATCCGTATGTTCAAATTCAAACTTATCCAGGTACTACCTTAAAAATTGTTATTACTAGATCAATAACAAAAGCAGCCTGTTAATTGTAACAGAAATAAGCATGTGATTTGGCTCCTCTAAAGAAGTTGCTATTATGCCAATAGTAAAGTAAATAAAATCGCCTTTCCTTACCTGCTCACATTCATGTGTACCTTAACCAAGGTGTGATGCTTCGGTCAGTGATAAATTATAAGAATGTGAGTTGTGGTGTTAGTATATAGAATGTGTTTTTAATGGTCTTGCATTTTCCTGTTTGGAACCCCAGGGTGTTGTTGATTATATTTACTTTATAGGTAACCAAATGGCTAAGGGAACCACTGATGAAATGAAACATGTTTTGGGCCAGCTGGTCGGTCTGAATTCTCCTAACTCCATTTTAAAAGTTGCTAAAGTAAGTATGTCTATTCTCTACATTAATTTTAAGTAAAGCTGTATGTAATTGGGTGAGTTTGATAATTAAGTGGGTAACTCATTGAAAAGTTGGTATAATCACCACATTAGTTATGAGTTATATATCTGCATTTAGATGCTTAATATGTGCTTTTTTGATAAGTATAGATTTGTTTGATTTATACTTATATTTTGACGATAGCACATTTCAGAGTGGTTTGTCATATAAGGTACCTCCAAAAGATTGCTTTCCTGTCTCATCTGGAATAAATTTAGCACAGGAATCTGTCTTCTAAACTACACTGTTTCAATACCATTCTTAGCATAGCTTTTGAATTAATTTCTTCTATTAAGCCATACAGAAGTTACAGTATTTGTAATATAGAATGGATTATAGAAAGCTGTACATAGCAATTGCACATTTCCCAAAGCACATGTCTCAAGCTTTTCAGCCTCCCAGTACCTGTTTACATATATATGCATGATTTTTTGATTTCCATTTCATCACCCATTTCTAGGACTTTATGAATGCTATTGACTAACTAGTTTAGTTATCAAATAATTATTAATTATACATTTCAGTTATAACATAAAATCATGGGAGTTTGAACTAATGACACTCTTCGCTCTCTGGATAAGAGTAAAGTCAATTTAAGTTGCTAAAAGCTTGGGACACATTTCTACTGGGATTTGTTGTACATTCACAACTATATGTGCATTCAAATGCTATAAAGTGGGTTTTCTTTTTTTTTTGGTTTTGGTTTTTCTCCGGTACCAGGAACCGAACTCACGACCTTGCGCTTGCCAGGCAGGCGCTTTGCCGCTGAGCTAAATCCCCGGGCCCTAAAGTGGGTTTTCTTTTAAATTTTTTTTGAGTGCTGATGACCAGTCAGTGCCTTTAGGAGTTAAAGTTGGGCAAAGTCGTGTACAATTGCTCTGTATTGCATATTTTCATGTTTTAAATTTATACTAGTGTTTAGAACTTCTAGAATAAAATTAAAGTGGATTAGTCACCTGTATTACTGAGGTTATGTATTCCTTGAGGGCAAAGATATCTGTCTTTATACATTAGTTGTTAGGTGAGCCTTCAGTCTTCTTGATATTCTTAAAAACACAGACTTTAATGTACATTTGACTGCTCTATCTGTGGGTTCCATATCTAGGGATTTAACCAACCACAGATCAAAAATATTCCAAATTTTTAAAAAAATATTGCCCATGTACTAACAAAAATTTATATCACATTTACATTGTATCTCATGTATTATAAGTAATCTAGGGATAATTTAAAGTATATACAGGATGGTGTGTGTGTGTACTGATACTAAAGCACTTCATATAAGGATCTGGAACATCTGTAGATTTTGGTATCCATGGAATAGGGGTCCTGGAACCAGTTTCCCATAGATACAAAGGATGACTATACCTAGTTATACTTACATATATAATGACACTTTTTTCCCTCATACTGGGAATCTACCCAAGGTACTATACCATTAAGCTACATATGCTGCCCCTTTTTATTTTTTGTTTTGAAACAGGGTCTTGCTAAGTTGCCCAGGTGGGACTCAAGTTTGCAGTCTCCTGCCTCAGCCTTCCAAAGTGCTAGGATTACAAGCATATGCCACTATGCCCAGTTTATAGTCCTTTTTAATATCTCATGTTCATTAGTGAAAGTATTAAGTTTTCTAGTTTATATATAGGAATTTATGTGAGTAAATGTAAAAAAAGTGTTCAGGAAAGCCTTGAAGATGGTACATATGCTTATTGGGTACATTTTATTTCTTTTATGAAAAGTTGAGCTACATTCCATGATACCTGATTCTTAAGGCCAATGTAGATGTTTAAAACTCATATCTAGTCATTTATACCGTAATCTCCCAAATATACAAATAAATACATTTGTTATATTTAGAATATGTGATAATACATTGAACCAAAAAATTACAAAAGAGATGTGTTTTTAATTTCAGACTTTATATGCACGCTATAGTAGTGATGAAAGTAATGATTCTTCATCATCCAAGACTTTTGAGAAAAAATGGGAAAAAAAATGACACACAGGTACTCATAAACTGTCAAATAACACTATAAATATCTATGGACTGTTTTACTCTTGAATCTATGTGGAAGTCTACTCATGAAAACAACTTCATTCAGAAATGTTATCAGCAAAAATATGCAATAATTATCCTCAAAAGAAAACTGTAAAAATAACCACGAATGGCACTGTATGTATTAAATTGTAGAATTATTTTCTGTTTATACTTTACTGTAAAGCTAATCTATTCAATTGCATTCACATTTGGAAGAGTGGGTGGGCAACTGAAATATATTTTGAAGAACTATGTAAATAAAGGTTTATAGCATAAAGTTACACCAAAATTTCAAAGTTGTCCAGTTATTTTCTTCAGGCAAATATGTTTTTGGCAAGATATCAGAATTTTTAATGTATAAAAATTGTCTTAAGGGGAGACTTGAGAGAGCTTTGTAAATGAACTTTAAAAACAAAACACTCAAAGGTTTGAGTTCCTAGATTTCCTCATAATTTACAGGACCATAGTTTTAGTGCTATGTGTGGCTTCCTTCTTGCTTTGATCCTGCACCTACTTAACTGCTTTTCTTTTCTTTCTTTTTTTTTTTTTTTCTTAACTGCTTTTCATGTTTAGGGTCGAATGCTGGATTCTACCCTGTATATTGTGTAGGGCCTGCCACACTCTATGCCTTGTTTGGTAATGACTAATTTTAAGTATGGCCCTGGAGGGGTTTTTTTGTTTGGCACTGCTAGGGGCGGGACCCAAAGTCTTACACACCCTAGACAATCTCTACAGTTGAAATACATCCTCAGCCACACCCAAAGTCTCTTGACTGAATCTAATAGTTTACTTGAAGATATTGATTGAATACCCTTAATCTGAACATCCAAAATTTTGAGAGCCAGCATGAGACCACACACAGTAGATTTTACAACTGACCCTATGTGAAAGACTGCAGTCAGAACATAGGCACGCCGAAAGTATTGTATCAAGTTATCTTTGGGTTATATGTGTAAGATATTCTTGAAACATAAATAAATTTGTGTTTAGAGTTGTGTCACATCCCCAGGCATTTCATTGTGTATGTTTAAGTATTCGAAAATCAGAATAAATCTGAGATACATGCAGCTCCAATCATGTCTAGTAAGGGATACTCATCAACCTGTGTTATCATGTGGCATTCTTCTTTCTCAGTTTTTTAAAAAGATATTGATAGACTATTCCTTTAAAGCAGTTGTGGTAGATGGACAACTGGTGGTCAACTTATAACCCCCAGCTGAACTGAGTAAGCATGGTGCTGGGTATGGGAAGCCCACCTGGAGATTGTTGCCAGCAGCATAAGAGGCAGACCTGGAGAAGAAGTAAGGCTGTTGGGAGCTGGTAGAAGTTGTAAGGACCTCTTGGTTGTTTTGGAGGAGCTTGTCATGCTGGCTTTCCTAATGAACTTGGCTGTTTTCATCTTCTGAGGAGCTCGGGACCTCATTGGCACTGAGAATGGCTTTGGTTCACTTTGGGGAAGCTCTGGTCCTCACTTTGAACATCGCTTCCTGGCTCCAGAGTGGAAGATGGTGCACTACTTAGTCTCCTGGAGAAGCATGTTGTGCTGGCTTTCCTGATGGGAACTCATCTTTCCTCATCAGAGGAGCTCGGGACCTCACTATTGCTAAGGATGGCTGTAGTACTTTTCAGGGGAGCTCTGGTTCTTCTGAGCATCACTTCCTGGCTCCAGTGCAGATCCCTCAGCCTCCTAGCACAGATCCATCATCCCGCTGGCACAGACTTCCTAGATTCCACCACTGACCTTTGGGCCTTCCCAGCACAGATCCATGAAACAGGCCTGTATGAGGTATTGCTATGGGCTCTGAGCTACCAGTTGGACTCATGGGAGGTGTTGTTATGGGCTCTAGGTCTTCAGCTAGACTCATGCAGGGCATTACCATGGGATCAAGGCCCTCGGCTAGATTCCTTGGTCTAGGTGTGTGGACAGACTTCCTGCACTCTCTTGTATATCATTCTTTGGGTGACTATTATAAATAATCTTGTAAAATATGTGTCCTGTTTTATATTCTCTTTGCAAAATAACTCCCAAACCATAACAGTAGTTTTAGATTCACAGAAAAGCAGGGCATAAAACAGAGTTGTCTGTATCCTTGCCTTCACTCACAGACACCCTCCATATCAGCTCTCCCAACACCAGTGTCCACACCACAGTGGCTCATTAGTTACAGTCCATGAACCCACATCAACACATCATTATCAACCAAAGCCTGTAGTTTATGCAGGGTTCACACAGTACTATGCTATGGGTGAGAATATATTTAATGACATGTATCTGCAGAAGATGATAGAAAACTACAATGAGTGTTTCTTTAAAATTTATTATAGTAATTTATTTCTTTTAAAATTTATTATAATAAAAGACACATTGCCACTCACACCCCTCCAAATACTATTCATTGCTTTAAATACATGTATCCCATCATTTTTGCTACTTCAGAAGCAGTTCTGAAAGTCCTCTTTCATGAGTGTCTTTAGTTGCACTCTTATGGCTTCCTCAATGTCCTGAATTGACCTTTCATAGTCGTTTTTTACCATAGGAAGGAGTCAGAAGTTGCGTGGTGCCAGATCTGGTGAATAAGGTAGATGAGGTCACAGTAATGTTTATACAAGCTGCCTTTCTGTTGAATGATACTTGGCAATTTTGATCACAACTAATGATGCTCATGGAAGAGTATCACCCAATCCCAATAGAAGTGGCAAGAACAATGGGATGAGTGTCCTTGAAGCAAGGGTATTTTAAGGTGAATGAATGGCAGTCTGTTTTTTTACAATAATAAAATTTTTAAATTTAAACACCATATTTTTTGACCTCTCCTTGTTCCATAATATCAGACAGAATAGTTTTGCTGCCCCAAGAATACTTGGTGCTTTGTATACTTATGCTTCCCCCTCCTTACACCCAACCCTTGGAAACTATTAGTCTTTATTTTTTATTTCTCAGAAATGATATAGGTAGAATCACAGGTGAAAGAAGCCTTTTCAGATTAGCTTATTTCACCTAGTGACTGTGAGGTCCCTTCATGTTTTGTCTTGCTTTCATAGCTCATTTTTTGTCAGATTCTTTTACTGTTCCGTTGTTTAGATGTTGCCAGTGTCCATTCACTGTTTGTCTACTGTCTTGGTTACTTTCTCTGTTGTGGAGACACAATCCCCACCACTTGCTGTTTAGAGGAGAGTTTCATTTTGGCTTACAGATTAGTCTGTACTAAGCCAACTCCAAGACAGGATGGTGTGGCAGAGGGTCACGGCCAAAGAGAGCTGCTCCCTTGATGGTAGCCAGGAAGCAGGAAGAGTCACGGGAGGACCTGGGGAGGAAGATGGACCTTTCAGTCATACCCCCAGCAGCCAATCTCCTGACTAGTAAGCTTCACCTAGAGTTATGTAAATCTCATGGAGAAGGCATGGTAAAACCCAGCCTGAAAGTCAGAAGTGTATCCTGCAACTACCTTGAAAATGCTGTTAATTTTTAAAAAAATTATCTTGACTCACTTTATGTTTTGGTACTGGAAATCGAACTCAGGACCTTGCATTTGCCAGGCAGGTGGTATGCCACTGCGCTACATCCCTGACCCAAAAAATATCTTGAAATTATTGTATATATAACCTGTTTTTAGGATTGCTTGTCAGGTCAGCATTATAGACTTCTCCCATGAGAAAATTTCACATTCTAGGTTCACCTGTGAACCTAGAATAAATAACTCAGTCTGTAAATACCGCTGTTGTGAGGGCAAAATATTGCAATGGGGGCAGTAATGGAACCTAGCAGAGACCTGCTTGTTTGCTTGCTGACTGTTAGAACTGCTGCTACCACAAGGACTGAATTTGCCCACATGGGCCATGCTCAGGGCAAGTCAGGGCCCTACACCATCCCGAGGTTAGGGAAGAAAAGAGGAAAGGCTCTTTGTTTTTCACAAGAGTGCGCTTGTACAGTGGCTTTCATAATAGAGCTGTCTCCAGCTGTTTACTTCCTTGCATAATGTTTACCCATAAATACTCTTGCAGACATGCATGGCTAATAGGCTAACAAAGCTTTCCAGATTTAATGAGTACTACATGTAATTCATTTTTCAACCACACATTGGTCCCAGAAATCATTTTTTTTATTAATTGGCAAATGAAAAATCATCTTCATATTTGTGAAGCACACAAGTCAAAAGTCTAAAATAGTATTTAATGGGTGTGTGTGTACTTGATATCAAGTTAATTTTTTTTTTGTCTTTTTTTGAGACGGTCTCGCTATGCAGTTCAGGCTGGCCTTGAGCTCACTTTGTAGCCCAGGCTGCCCTCAAACTCGCAATGATCCTCCTGCCTCAGCCTCCCGAGTGCTGGGATTGCAGGCATATGCCACCACACCTGGCTATCAAATTAACCTTAAAACAAGCAATTTGTATTGCTATAGTAATTTACCATATTCCCATTGTTATTTCCCATACCAAATAACACACTGCACACTAGGAAACGTGCCCATTTACATCCAGTATGCAGACAAGCCTACGGTTTCCTATGGTAGGTGGCAGCATTAAGTCTTGGCCTTTTTTTTTTTTTTTTTTTAAATAGGGTTTCTCTATGCAGTTCAGGCTGGCCTGAACTTGCAGCAGTTCTGCCTCAGCCTCCTGAGTGCTGGGATTATAAACATGTGCCACCACACCCAGTTTAGGCCTTGATATTTCTTAAGCAACCTGGAAGACCTTGTAAAGGAAGCAGTTTTTTGAGAACATGCCTAGAGTCAGGAAAAAAGTATTTCTGTGATGAAACAGTGACCACTGAATGTAAATTTACAAACCTTAAAGTGCGGTGTGACTAAGACTGACTCAGATTTGAGATGAACTCAGAATTCACGTTGATGTTTAATCCATTGCTCAGCATCTTTACCTGTGCACATGGCTTTCTTAAAAAACGTTTTTGCAATACCTAGGATTGAATCCAGGGCCTTCTCACTGAGTTACATCCTCAGACCTTGTTTTAAAATTATTTTGAGACAAGTCTGGCCAAGTGTTCCAGTCTGGGCTAGAACTCCAGATGCTCCTGCCTCAACCTCCCAGAGTGCTGGCATTAAAGACATGGGCCAGCAGGCATGGCTGACTTTTCTTAATGTTAGAGGTCCAGGACATTCTAAGGGACATTCTTTGCTCACTCAGAACCTCCAAAGCTCCAGCCCCCTCACCACCCTTGAACAGCTCACTGGACTTTCAGCTTTGGGGTAGAATCACCTTGGGAAGCTTTCTAAAAGCATTCATGCCAGGTTTGGTGACACACACCTGTGATCCTAGCACTTGGGAGTGTGAGGTA